CCGCGGGGGAGGCAGATTCGCCCCCCCCCGCCGGCAGGGGGCGCTCTCCGCGCCGCGGGTCCGCGCTCCCCACCGGCTCGCCGCCGCGCGCCCCCCTCGCATTCGGCGCCAAAACGCCGCCGGCCCCGCCCATTGGGTAGGCGCGCCGGGAGCGGAAGTGGCGGCACGGCGCTTCCGTTTCCATGGCAAGGGCAGGCTTCCGCCCCGCCCCTCGGCACAAAATGGCGGCGCCGTCACCTGTGGGGGAAGGCCGTCGGGGCGGAGAGCGGCCGCCGCCAGTCCCCGGGCCTCGCCCCCGGCGCTTTAAAGCTGGTTATGAAGGCAAGTTGCGTGACCCAGGGAAGGTCTTTACCTTCCTTTGCACGGCCTTGTCGCTCGCAGGAGCTGTGTCAGGAGGACGGTGCCCCCGTCGGGCACCCCCGGGGTCGGATCCTGCTCCGGCATCGGAAAACAAAGACTTAACACCACATCTCCCACCGTGCCGGTAACGCACAGGGCCGCGGAGAGCACACACCATACCGGTGACGAGTCGTATTTATTCAGTCAGTGGCCGATTTTAGCATGAAATAACACACAACAGACATGCCCCCTACTGACGCATGGCCTCCCTTCACCAAGGTGTGTTTACAAACTGTTAGCAATACACTTATTGCTTTCTTCATTGATTCTTAAAATCATTTCTTCTTTATTTGCATTAAAATACCCTATTTTTTTAATACAAAAAGTACTAAATACATTTAATGAAAATAGAGTAAAAGTACAAATCACAGCACTCATCTTTCTCTAGAGAAAGGAAAAACCACCTTCAAAGAAAACAAAAAAATCCCTAGAAGTTACATCCGTTGATTGGGAAACAGCCACCTGAAAGAATGAGTGAGCTTTGTTGGGGCAGCATCTTAAAATCCGGTAACTGGCATTTGCACCATCCAAGCAGTCCCCCCCGGCTGCTGACAGCCCCCCAGCAGAGGCACAGGGACTCAGCTGGGACAGGGCGAGCGACACACGCTGCGAGCATGCCATAGCCGGGAGGAGAAGGCGGGAGTCTGGCGCTCGGCACAGGAGCACACTTGCTTTTGGCTGGGGAGAGGAGGTATGGGTCTTCCTACTGGGAGAAGCTATGTGCAAGCCAACGAATCTGCCTACAGGTAACAACTTTCAGCAGACTGGTACTTCATCTTGTTCTCACTTTCTTGATTTTAGCATTCAGAAATTTGTACACAATCACTCATTTCTTTTCCTGTGCCCACTTTCCCCAGCCTGCACTCTCCTCTTACACCTGAGGAACCGGATAAGATGCACAAGCAGCAAGACCACACATATTCTTGCCACGTTCAATAAGGAAGTACCTAAAAAGAGAAAGAAATGTGTTTGAGTGAGTGTTTCCTCCTCCGGCGGAGTAAGCATGACAGATAGCAGCATAACACAACTGCTCTCATTAGTGCAAGCTCCTTTCTCATGCCAGCGCAAGGACCAAATACCTGTGAACAGTAGTTAGCCAGGCAATGCTGTTCCCCATCCCCCTTATATCACAAACTAGCAGAGTTAGCACCTGACCCTGAAAAATTTCACTAGCAGCTGGAAATACTTGCAGAGCTGGAGTGAAAACTCACTCCCAGCACAACCCATTCTTCTCTGGCCATGTAACCACAGAAGAGGCACAGTACTCTCCTGGCATCAGGCAAACCACCAGTATGGCAGCTCTGCACACGCTGGCCAAGCCCCTGGTGACAACGGCAGGGCTATTGATCTACAGGTCTGCTCTAACGAGTCACCCCAGGACTGGTTTGTAAAGCCATGTCTCCTTCACTGCCGAGGCTGGGATGATTGCCCTGCATCCTCTCAGAGTATGAAACAGCTGCGAAATTTCAGCTTGAGAGCGTAAGGGCGACCTGGGGGCTGATGAAGGTGGGTGGAATCCGACAGACACGACTGTCTTTTTACCAGGTACAGGGAGACCACGGTGGGTCAGGTAGCGTTGGGACCTCCTTACCCATCCATGCCCCACAGTGGGCCCCAGGAGTTCTTCACAATCCAGTAAGGTGTTCCATTTTCTTCTCCATAGCCCACAGCAAGGACAGCATGGTTCACCTTGTCAGGAGTGTGCTCACATCGTGGGCTGCAAAGAAAAGGGAAAATAATGCAGATTAGTTACATGAAAAAACAGTCTGTAATTAATCATAGATTAGCCAGCATTCTCGATTGCACTCCCAACTGCAAAAAGAACTACTGGATACTCTGAACTTCCAGTTGTGGAGAGTAGGGAGGGAAGCCAAGAAAAGGAGATACTGCTCTCTGTTCTCACTCAGAAACTATTACCGGCCGTATCTGAAGTCAGGGCAATAGGCTACGCGGATCTGAGCACCCGGTCCGGGCTTTTGTTCAGAATTAAGATCAACATTGTCACACAAGAATGAGCTACAATGAAAAAACTGAGCAAAGGAATTTTTCCAATGAAAACCAGAAGCTCTTAAGTGCATCCCAATAACAGTTTGTTCTGCCCCAAAGTTCAGAGGCACTGTTCCACATTTTGCACAGGGAACAGCTGGTTCCTCAGTCTAAATACATGTTTCCTTGTATTTCCTCTGAATTTCCAGCTTTTAAATTGCACTTGATGAAAGTTGCCACCTGTGATATAAAACAAGACAACACAAGGTACAAGCTCCCATCTCTAGAGCACCTATTTTTAAACATTTTCAAATTGCAGATAAGTAAAAGATCAAAAATCCCCACAACAGATTTACTTTTCTTCAATCTGTTAATAGTTGGTCTGGGGACCATAGGCTGAAACCACTGGAGCATCAATTATTCCATATGCTCTGACTTTAAATCTACCTTAGACTATAAATCTACAAGATAACTTGGCGTGTTCCTCAAACTGGAATCCTATTACAAAGTATCTTGACTGTCTCACCTGCTTTAACTCCTCACATCTGCCTGTTGCTTGCTTTAAACTTTGAGATTACTGTCTTTATTGCAACAGCAGAGCCACTCAAATTCACGATGCTGCCTACTCTTTCCCTTGCAGCTCCCTGGGGCAGATCACTCATGCTTAGACTCTTAGTTTAATTTTCCCTGCAGTTCTACGTGACTGAGGATTCATTACTCTCAAGTATTTTTCTAGTTCTCTCCAAACATGCACTTTCCCAATTTCTTGCCTAATAGAAATCTATCCTGCTGCAGTTAGCTTCCATAGTCTTTCCAAAATATAATAATCATCCTTTTAAGTAGCTTTTTGCCTTAGCTATAGAGCTGACACAACACTCGAGACCTTCTGCTAGGTCACTTCATGTCTCCAACTAATTTTTCATCTCTGCTGCTTTTCTTACACATCCAGCTGCAGAGGCAGGTAAGCACCTGATGGGATTGGCACGAGGTGCTGGGGGAGCTGCCTGCCCTGCAGAGGACAGCGATGCAGGGACCCCTGCCTTTGTAACACAATCTGCAAACGTACCAGCTCAGGTGCAGGGCAGCGTGAAGGCAGCTACACCGCTCACCACCACCCCTCTGAGGTCTAGCACTGGAAGAGCCACTTGAGTCCCACGGAAAACTTACTTTGGTTAGGACTTGCCCTAAGTAAACCAGATGTGTTCAGCTACAACAGCTGGGCTGACCCTGCCACCATCCACGGTCACACACATCAGCCCTGGAAGAGGCTTCCGCCAGCTCTGTGGCAGGGCTGCAGAAGGATCTCCCGAGCTTCCTGACTTGCTGAGCTTTGTTCCAAACGCAGGCTGGTCTTCGGGTTGGACTGGTTCCTAGCAGTAAATTGGCTGCAAGCACACTGTTCCCTCTTCCCTGTGCTGCGCTCTCATCCCCCAGGGAAATCAGTATATCAAGGCTCAGTTTACTTATGTTTTCTATTTTCTGTTTAAAAGAAAATGCAAGAATGCAGTCCAGTGTCCTGGCGTCCAGTGCCACAAAGCAGGAGAAATGGGGATGCGAGTGATTCCAGTCCTACACCTTCCCCTCACCCTCAACCTCCCAGGTTCAGAAATACTTACTTTGAATAGACTCCTTTTCTGTAGTGCATGAAGTTACCTGTCACCTCAAATGCAAAGCTCACCGGGTTGTGCTTCCCCACAGCTTCTACCATGCCATCCTCATCATACTGCAAGAAGAGGATTCTAGGGTCATTTATCTCCTGATTTTGCTGGAACCAGTCAAGAACCCCAGAGCTGCAGTCAGAGCACAGGGGATGGCTAACCCTGGCTTTCTGCTTGCAGACAAGGAAACAAGCGCTGCTTGCATTGAAAGACAAGAACCAAGACTGTCTTACAGTCTGGAGGTGCACCCACTGTGGAAAGCAGGCACAGACCTAGTGCCTGTATTTTGACTACAGCACTTCATTGGTGCCACCTTCAGAAAAAGGAGTCAGCGGCACACAGGAGAGGAGGAGTGTGCATGCCAGCGGCTTGTTCCTCTCCAAAGAGAAAGCAGGCTGCAGCTCGTGCTGCAGAGCCTGGCACACCTTGGAGCCTCTGAGCACCTTCCAGGTCAGGCTTGGCACAGCCCTTGAAGTTCGGAAAAGTAACCCTCAGGGCCTTACCTGCGTGATATTGATAACATCCTTGACAAATGCAATAGCTTTCTCCGGCTGGAACTTGCAGGTGCCATTCTGTGCAGACAGAAAGGAACTGGTATTAAAGCCTGCTCCGGACCCTGCTCTGCCACTGCAGAAATACACCTGAGCTGCGCTGGAAGTACCTCGGCCCGGTATGGGTAGGTGTCCTCCCCCATGAGCCCTTTGTTATACAATATGTATTCAAAGGCTTGGCTTGGCAGGCCCCTGCAAGACAACACAGCCAGAATGCAGATTCATTAGGATGGTAACGCTGTGGCTTCTGCAGAGCAAATCCATGAACATTCCCCCACAGTCCTACAGACCGTTCCCACAAACTGGGGGGAAAGGGAAGGACAGTGTGTATCCCAGACCCTCTATAGGCATAAACTCCAGTCTGTTCCTGCAGTATCTCCCTGTCTGGGACTCCAGCCCATCAGGCTGTTTGGCATGGTCCTACAGAGGCACGGGAAGACCTCATTCTCAGGGGTGCCTAATCCCTGGGGGAGAACGCCAACACAGGAGGCCCAAAGGCACGAGGCCACCTTGTCCACACAGCACCAACAGTGCCAGCTCAGCTCTGCAGCCTTGCACACTCAAGGTGTTTATCCGTGACCTCTGCCCAGCCTGCAGCCTGGATGCTGTGGCTGAGGTCCCCAGCTACACAGCACGGGGGAGGACAAGGGACCCACATCTCCAGCAAGCAGCTGCTTCCTCCCCCGGCCAACTTTGGGGAGCACATCTCACAGAGGGAAGAAAAGGAGAGTGTGATTGGGGCATGCTGACAAGGAAAGGACTAAGGAGGAGTCATGAGAAAAGTAAAAAGCACCAAGAGTGGTTTTGCTTAGCTCTGAGCATTCCTCAGGGACTGCCTATCTTACAGAAAACAGAAGATTTCAGAAAGCTTTATTTTCTGCCTTCTCTAGCAATGCCAGTAGGAATTTACCAAAGGGGAAGCAGAGGTTTCTGTGGGTTCCTTAAAGTGCCATGAGATGCGCATGACCCATGAGCAGTGCAACAGACAAAACTCCCCTTGCTTTCCCTGAGCATGTTAAAGCCTAGCTATGTAGCACACGTGATGGCAATGTCAAAAGACATTGTAACAAAACAAATATCAGAAGAAAAACTAATAAACAACAGGAACAACAGAGGTTAGGAAATGCTGGAGATTTAGTGAAACATTCTAACCTCTAGGGAGGGCAAAATTAAAATAAGGAAACCAAACTAAAGCCAAAACTGTTTTCCCTGACATGTGTCAGCCAAGGGAAAACAAAAACCATTCCAAGATCTGGAAGGATCCTGACACTAGATCTTGAGGAAGGCTGTCAATCATGGAACATAAGATACTCCCATTTCTATTCTTTATTACTTTATATAACTTACCCACTGCAGCCGTGGTTGTTAAAAGCCTGGGCGCAATCAACTAACTGTTGTTCTGCCTAAGGAAAAGTTTTTTGAGTAAGTATATATTCAACACCTGCATTCGGAATAAGTGATACAAAATGCAATCCGGGTGGCAGGCAACTGAGGAGCATTGGTTTTATCCATGTAGCTGGCTGTTCACCCGCTGCAAGCAGGAATCACTCGGCTGAACAGCTCCACATTCCAAGGAGGGGGACAAGGAAGATGTGGAGCCGGCAGCCCAGGATGCTTGAGCTGCAAGAGGCATTCCTCCTCACGCCTGCCAGGACACTGTCCCACCCACGGGAGCACTGGCTGAGATCTCTTTCAAAGGTCAAGTTTGTTTTTAACACTTACACCCAACCCTCAGCTATTCTGGTAAGTCATAAAAGCGGCTAATGTCTTTCTAGTTCTTCAAGAACGTAAATCCTCTGGGAGTTTAAAAATAAACAGTCTCACAATGTGCTGCTTGCAGCAAGCTGTATTGCAGCAAGAAGCTCCTGCCGGTTGGCAGCACCAGACACGGCTCTAGCTAACCATGCCTGCTCCCAGCAGCAGGGACCTGTCAGCCTCCGGCCCCTCTGCTTTCATCCTGCTCTGAAAAGGGCTCTGCCCAAACCCGGGGCAGCGGGACACTCAGATCCCGAGAGGGGATGGTGACAGGCACATCCTCAGGCACAGCAAGCTCCCACCCACGCTGCCTTACACCTCCCCAGCAGTTTTGCTTGGCTTGCAAATAGCTGCAAGGGGTCTGCAGGGCTGGAGGTGCCTGCCACAGCCACACACAGTGATGTACAGCCAGACTTGGAACAAGCAGCTGGCAGCTGTCCCAGACAGGAGTGGGCTGGCCCTGCTGGCAGCCCCGGCAGATAACTGGAAGCAGGACTTGCCGTCAGTGCACAGGAAAGGAAAATCTCTTACCAGAGAGAGGAGCTTTCCCGTCGCAATAGCAATAGTAGACTCCAAACACCCTGTGGTGGAAAAGGTCCAGCAGCTCCCGCAGGGGCCCTGCATTAGGAACCGGAGAGGAACTGCTCCATAATGTGCTGCAGGGTCACCAGCCTCCCCAAAACACAAGGGCCAGGGCAGAAGGGCACGCCAGGAGCACATCGCTTCCACTCCCTGCCGGCAGCTGGACTTCACCTTCCACTTGGCCCCTGCCCAGGGACCCACGGCCTCCCCCCGCCCCAGCCCACCCCAGCCACAAAGGGGCTCCTGGGGGAGCCTGCTTCCTTGTGGGCAGGCACACCCCAGCACTCCGTCTGCTGGCACGGTGCCCTGCCCGCAGCGGTTAGCCCCTCTCCCGGCCTGCTCTTGGTGCATCGCTGATGACACACACTCCTCACCTGGTTTTTCACGGGTGTCACGTAATTTCCCTTCTTCCTCCAGTCAATGGAGTCGGGATACGGCCCCGAGCTGCGCAGGAAGTTCCCCTTTGTGGCTGAGCAGTTCTGCAAGCGAGGCAGGAGAGCTGTGGCAAGCCACCATGCCGGGGGACAGTGGCCCGCAGACGGCTACCCTTCCCAGGGTGGAGGCAGCAGTGACCGCCACGCTGCCTGTGCAGCCCTGGCTACTGCACAACAGCCACACTGGCCGGGGAGACCTGAGCCAGCCCTGGAAGAGCACTGCTAGCCCGCACCCCCACTGCTCAGGGACCTCCTAACTCCCCAACGAGCCGGGATCAGGCCTTAGGCCTACCCACAAAAACACAGATCGACCTGCAAAGCTGAAAGCAGAAGTGACAATTTAGCTAGAGCCAGGGTCAAGAGGCAGAGGCAGCTGAAAGCTGGGAAGGTTGGGGATGGAGGGGGGGGTTCACCTCACTCTTACCCCAGCTCCGGCGGGACAGGGCACTGCACTTAGCAAAGTGGATTTCAGGCAGCACAGTGACGACGGGGTGCCGACCCACGGGTGGGTGCAGCTTGCTGCGGAGCCCCCCCCACCCTGTGGCTTGGGCTCCGCCATCCTGCCAGACCCCCTCCTCCTGTGACTTACCTGGGGCTCGCTCCACAGGTATAATTTTTTAAATTCTGCGAAGGTCAGATCTGAAAACTGGTTCAGGCTCACTGGAAGAAGGGAGGAAACGGGAACGTTTTGCTCACTACGGATCAGAGCGCAAAGCGAGAGCAGGCCGGGGGGGGGGTAAAGCGGCTCCTACTCTGGTAGCTGTGGTTGCCGGCGTTGTGCTCGTCGATCTGCCTCTTGTTACCGAGGAAGATGCGCAGCCGGCGGGGGTACTCGTCCGGGCCGTACCGCCGGTTGTTCTACGGGGACACAGGGCGTCAGCCGCTGCCGAGGGGTTCCCGAGGCCCCCCACTCCCCCGGCCCGGCTCCTTCCCACCGCGGCCCGTCCCCGGAGCTTTACCTGCAGCATCCAGGCCTTGAACTGCAGCTCCTCTGCGGGAGGGAGCGGGGAAGCGTCAGCGGCTCGG